TAATGGGGCTCGGGGTCCACAGCCCCCATTAAGGTGTCCCTCTCAGAGTCCCAGTACCACTAGAGGTAAGACATTTCTACACTTGTGGACATAAAGGCCATGTATAGGGTTCTTCCTGAGTTTTCAGGTCACTATATTAAGTCCTCAGTCTCTAAAGGGTGTATTGATGGCCAACCTATGCAGCCTTACAGACAGGGCCTATTTCATGCCAGTTCTGGACTTGCTTCTCACGTCGATCCCATTGTTTGAGATACCTCTAATCCCACCAGCGCTGCCCATGGCATGCTTATTCTAATTCGTCTCAGGGATCCTTCAATTTATCCTTGTGTTCCCCAATATCCCCTAAACATTTACAGGGACTTAAACCTATAATTAAGTGCCTTTTACACAATGGTTTTCTTAAACCTACCCATTCACCCTATAATATTTCTATTCTCCTGGTACTCAAGCCTGATGGGGTTACCCTCTAGTACAAGACCTTAAGATACTCAATAGTGCCATTACCCCAAACCACCCAGTGGTGCCAATCCCTCCTTCCACCACTCACTTTACAGTCCTAAATCTTAAAAATGCCTTTTTATTCCTTTGTGTTTATGCAAACTAACCCAGACACTCTGAGGTCTCAACAGCTTACACCTGTTATCTCTAGTAAAACCTCTCCTCAGGGATACATAGCACCCCCCTCCTTGCCTATTCACCAATTTCTCAGACACAACCCTAGTCAAGACTGACAGATAAATTTTATCTTCTCAGCTTTGTTTATACTTTTCCAGGTTACATAAAAGCCTTTCCCACAACGAGGGAGACTGCTGATATACTTACTAAAGTCCTGTTATGTAAAACCATTGCAAGGACTACAAGTTGGAGTGGCTCATACCTGGTCTTCTTGGCAACCTCAACAGCGGTCAAAGTTGCTAGACTGCCGTCCTGGTTTCACATCACTCAGGCTAAGTGGTGCCCTCCCAGTCCTAGAACAAACCATCCTTTTCCCATGTTTGTTATCCAATTTGGTTCTAATTTCTTACATTCTATTAATTATCCTTTTTACAGCAGGACTCTCAACAGTATTTCCTAAAGACTCCCACATCGTGCATACCAGAGACAAGTCTTACCTACCTACCCTCTTAACTTTTACCCTTTCAGATGGGGAAATAATCACCTCTCATAACTCCACATTTATTTTTCAGAATTCTACCTTACCATGGCAATGGTTCTACCTCAACATGGTCCTGATAAAATGACATATCTAAATCAAAGGCACTTTTGCTTCTATCTCACCTGGGTCCTTAAATATGATAGTGGCCCTCCTCCTCATAACACTTTGTCTCTTTGTTTTTCCAGACTAGCATGCGGACATTCTTTAATGATATAGTTGCCCTGGTTAAAACACCTGGCACCAGCTTCTACATGGGCATCAACAGTCATCCTGTTGACCCTTCTAAACCCCAGTACAGCACCCTCTTTGAGCAGGAATCAGTAAAAGAAGAAGAAAAAAACTTCACCTTTTTCCCTAGTAATAAAAAGATGGGAATGAAAGGATTTTTCCCTGGATGGGAAGCTGCAGAGGTCGGAGGCTGGGATGCAGAACCAAGGGGCTCTATCTTGAGGTCACCTTTCCTGCCCCTAGGCAATTTACCTGTGGCACAAAATAAATTCCAATGGGCTACCTGTGTGTCAGTAATCCCCCTTAGGCCCCACCCCAAACCTAAGCTATATATATGCCCCCATACCACATGTTGGGCTGAGAGAATACCAGACCCCAGAGGTCATGGAGTCTCTCTCTGCATTCTTAAAATAAAGGCCACTTTTATTTCATGTTTCTTATCTTTTAGTCCTGCTGAAAATTCTACCATAAAATATCTAATGTGTGTTAAGACTTTCAGCTTTTATTTTCTGGATTTTAAAGGAAATATTTATCATAAATACTGGGAGAAAAAGTAATGTTACAACTTAGTTGTAAAATGTCCCCTAAAAGACTAATAAGTTCTGAGGTATAGCTTTTGGAAGCATGGTAATCCAACATTCAATAATGGATTAATCGATTGATTAGTTTATCATTCAAGGTATTTTTAAGAAGTGGGGTGACTGAAGGAGATGTGTGTGCTTTTGAAGGATCTATTTATCTCTCATATCTATCTATCTATGATATACAGCTATATATCTCTTGCTCTCCTTCCTTCCTTTGCTTCCTAACTACCATAAGTTAAGCAGATTTCTACTGCTAGGCCCCTTTATCATGCCACTTCTGCCTTGGACCCAGCTGATCATGTACTAACTCAGAAATTGTGAGTCAAATAAACATCTCCTCTTTTAATTAGCAAGTATTGGGGATTTTGTTCCAGTAATAGGAAAACTGACTAAAACAATAAAATTGTATGGAATCAAAGAAGTTGGTTTCAATGGGTGGAGTATGATCCATGTTTTGAAATAATGAGTATGAATTTTATGTGATGTTTAATGGTTAGTAATGAGGCTCTGGTGACTTTGGAGGGGCAGGATTATGTGACTGGTAGTGATAGAGCAATGTAAAGTGCGTTGTGTCAACATTTCTGGCAAATATAAATTAAAACAGAAGAGCTTTATTACTTCAGCCATTTTTAACACAGGGAATAGATAAACCAATAGTTTGCAAGGCACTAAACACTGGACAGTAGAGACGTATCCCTAATAAATGAGAAACAAATTAGGTAAGCCCAGTGATATCCCTCAGATTGTTTACTAGGTTCATAGGCCACAACCTAAGAATGGAGAACCTAAGCAGAGATCAGAAATCTCACAAAGTTGAGATTAAGCTAAATCCCAAAAGTACAGGTAGCAGAGCCTGGCATGCAAACTGTGACAGAAATAGTAACTACTTTGGCCAGCCAGAGGAAAAACAAATATCTCAGGTACAGAAAAACAAAAGTCAAGGTGACATCAGATTGCACATCCAAAACAATGCAAGTGAGAAAATAGTATAGACACATACTTAAAGTATTGACAGGAAAAATACATATTAACTCAGACAATTTCATAAATACAGAATACATATTTAAAAAATGAAGAAAAATTTCTTTAGATAAGTAAAAAAATAACAAAGTCATCACCAGCAAGCATAGTACGGTACAATATATTAGCCCCCTCCTCTCTGCAAACTCAACTTCAAAACAATTCATAGTAGTATTAAAAACATGAAATTATTTCAGAAAAATCCAGGTAGATAGATATGGAACACATGCAACAGAAATTTCAAAATAATGATGAGATAAATGTCTATATGTTGATGAATACATATATTTTCGTGAATAAGAAAATATGGTACTGTAGAAATGATAATTATTTCCAATTAATCTATAGATTCCAAAAAGGGCCCATTAAAATTCCAAAATGCTTTTAGAAGTTCACTAGTTCTAAAATTTTGACAGAAATTTAAAGGGCATAGCAGAGCAAAAAAGGTTGTAAAAGAGTTGAATTTGATGACTAAGGCAGGTTGATTTCCAAGACTTACAATAAAGGGAAAATAGCACAATGTTTTCTCCACTGAATGTTGTAACTGCTATAAAGACAGAAAATTTATCAGATCAGAAAAGAATCCTAAGAAATATAGACAAGTGATTTTCTACAGTTACAGCATTAATTCAGTGGAGAAAACATCACCATTTCAAAGAAGGTTGTGGCATTATCATCTACACATAGCCAAAAAAGTAAAAAACATTTTGATGCATATAAAAATAGTTTTGATGCATATATTTGATGATTTTAAAAAAGACAATTTATAATAAGAGAGGGGAAGTAGAGCAAGTAGGGGAAGCAAAATGATTAAGATTCAATATGTATATTTACTAATCCCCCAGGATGAATGTAAATATGACATATCACAAGCACATACCAATTTATAAAAAGAAAGAATAACAATAATAAAATTTAGAAGGACGATAACAAGGACAATAAGAACTTTGTGACCCCTTGGTAGGTAATATTTTCTTAGCTACAACATAAAAAGAGCAATCCATAAAATAACAAATTGAATGGAACCCTATCAACTTTAATATTTCTGTTCTTTGAAATACACTGTTAAGGAATGAACAGTGAAGAGGTGGAAGTCTAAACTTTTGAATTATGTATGATAAAGGACTTAAATCCCAAACACAAATTACTCTCAAATTTAAAATTTGAGTATGTACTTTACAATTGGTGAGATATGGATGGCAAATCAGCATAGGCACACAAGTTCAACACCAGTAGTCATTTGAGAAATGCTTATCAGAAACCACAGTGAGATACAACACACCTTTTAGAATAGCCAAAATTCAAATTGCTACCATACCAAGTAAGGGATGTATATAGAAGAATGGAAATTATACTGCTGGAAGAAATACAAACTAGAATAACCACAAGCTTAAAGGATATAAAATTTCAGGTTGATAGGACAAATAAATTCAGCCCTATTGAATATATGATGAGTATTATAATAGTTTGTATATTTTAAAAATGCTACAAGATTAGAAGTGAAGTGCTCTCATCACAAAATAACTACGTGAGGTAACACATACATTAATTGGATAGATTTAGTCATTCCACAGTAAGTGTACTTATCTATATACTTATCTATATACTCATATACATACATACATACGTACATACATATATACATACATATATACACTTAAAATGTTTTACTTGATCCACACATATTATTTTATCTGTTATTCAAAAAAGAAATAGTAGAAATATTTGGGAAACGTTTGATGGTTGATGTAAACACCACATCTCATGATCTCACCACAGGATTTCTAAAGTGCAGCCAAGGGTATTGAAAACACATGCACACAAAAAGACGTGCAGTCAATGCTTGTGCATTAAAAGTGAAGCAGATAAATCAAATGTTATATCCACACAAGGGAGGAGAAAATAGAACCAGATAGGAGAGGGGCTCTGGCTTTCTGACTGCCGGAGAATTCCAGCACGAAGACCTAGTCTCTTAGCAACGACCCCTGAATTCTGGAAACAAACCACTGAAACTCTGCTGATGGCTTAGGGGCGCCATGGTGGAGCAGACCTGGCGTTTTCGGCCATGGGTGCGAGAGCCAGTGCCCCTGGGCATGACCTGCAAACCCTGGTGGAAAGACCAGCTGCCTTCCAAGTGTTTCGCAAAGCACAAAAACAAGCTTCTCCAGTTTCCCACCTCTCTGGACAGTCGGCGCTGGATATTTGTTAAAGAAGGTCTAGATGACTTCAGGAAAGGTTGTCCACTTTCCAAAGGTTTGATCACTCGTGGCACCAAGGAAGCCTTTCTCCCTATGGTCGCTCACAGAGTCCCGCAGTCTGGCACCAAAAAGAGGCCGAGAAAGCCACCCAAGGTCACAAGCCTGTGCACCACATTATCTTCAGCCCAGCAAGCACGCAAGGCATTCTTGCATGACCTTGAGACCTGTATTACTCAGGATCCTTCAGCTCTCTTCTCCACTCTGGAAGAAGATGTACCTGCAGATTTCTTGCTAAAAGCACGCGAAGTGCTGGATCCAGACTGGAAACTCGAACACATATTAGATTATTGCGAGGATCACAGGAAAGAAACCAAGAAATCTACCAAGTTTTTTAAAAAACATGAACCGAAAGACTTACCTAGACTTCCTGAGATTCGTCAGCCAAGTCGATACAAATTTCTTCAGGAAGACAAGATAAGCAAACTGTATTTCCTCAGTACTCTTCCACGTAGTTATATGCCACAGGGAGTTCGAGACTTCTGCAAATGGGTCGCTACTTTGGGAGACACAGGCATCAATGAAGAGTTTCTGCTGAAACGATTTGACATTGGCTTTGAGTTCAAGCCAACCTATGATGCGACCGAAATAAAGCACGTAAATCTGCTTCCTTCTGAGCTCAAATACTGCAAGGGGCTAAAGAAAGTGAAGGAGATGATATTCGCCATACAGGAAACAGATTTTGAGAAGAAAGTTCAGAAAATAAAGAATCCCTATCAACAGAAGCATGAGAAAATAAGGTACGGAGCATGGTACCTAAAGCCCAAAATGTGGAAAAAGCTATTAAATGACGAGCCTTTGATTGACCCTAAGATCTTAAGTAAAGCTCAGCGTGAATCTATTCCTGATGTTATTGAAGATCTCTATGCAACAATTGCCTTTAAGGACTTCATTATAAACAAAGGCTACAATATGCCAGGAATCCTTGAGCAGTTGTTCACCAAGAAGGGATGGACTTATGACAAGTTTGTGACCCCCATACCAAAAGCAGTAGAGGCTCATGACAAAGTACAAGCTACTTTTGAACAAGATGACTAGACAATTTTTTTTTTATTTGCAATGTGCTTGACTATATCTTGCTTTCATTTTCAGTAACCAGAATATAGGAATAGGGTAGCAGCTTCAATGCACAACTGGGCCAGGCATCCTGTTATTTCAGCACAATGCTCATAAATATTCGTCTATGAACTTCTGCTTTGAATTCATCAATATTTGGTGTATCAACTGAGATCAACATTCATATAAACTCATCACATTTTGCAGCACTGAGAATATTATGCCATTATATCAATTAAAGCCTTAAAATGGAGAATAACTTTTAAAAGGGAAATTATCCAGCAGTGTCAGTTATAACATAAGAATACTGCAATTGTGTTGAATTAAAGAAATATTGCAATTGGATTGAATAAAAGAAAATTTGTAATGCTTTACTTGTATTAAAATTTTAATGCAATTAAAATTATAGCAATTAGTTTGTCAAACACAATTGAAAATTTTAGCCAAAAAAAGTTTTCTGGATTTTTTTGTTCAATTTTCTAACTAAATAAGTTTACTGGTACAATTAAATATGCATGATAGTCACATTCATCATAGGGAATTTGGACCTGTAAATAATGTATGTTGATTCTTCTTTTTTCCCCATTCACTTTCTCTTCCTTCAAGTCCTCTCCCCTTCTTATTTACAAAAGCTTTGGTATCCTTCTTTTCTTGGTTTTTTTCTTCTCTTCCTTCATACTTCCCCTTCCCTTTTGAACATTTTCTACACATTTCCCAGTATCTATTACATATTTTGATCCTTATTTACACATCTGTCTTCTCACACTAGAGAAATAACTTGATATTTATACATGTAACACCAAGCTTTATTTCACACTTAAGATTATGATCTCATGGTACATCCATTTATCTACAAATATCTCATTTATGGCATAGTAGTACTTCACTGCATTAAAAAGTTTTTATCCATTAATTGGTTGATGGGCATTTGAGCTGTTTCTGAGATTTATCTATTATACACTGTGATGCTATAAACATAGATGTTCATATACCACTGTGGCATGATACTTTTAATTCTTTCAGTAAAGTACCAGGAAGGAAATAGCTGGGTGGAATGGAACATCTAGTTTTAGTTTTTCAGGAATCTCCATACTGATTTCTAGATAAGATACACCAGTTGACGCTCCCACCAACAGTGGAGAAGTGTTCATTTCTTCCTCCAAAACCTCAACAGCATTTGTTATTGGTTGATAATAGCCATTCTTTATGGAGTGCGATGGAATCTCAGTGATGTTTTAATTTACATCTCTTACATGAACAGCAATGAACACTTTTTCAATATGTTTATTTTCCATTTGTATTTCTTCATCTGAGAAGTGTGTATTCATTTCAGACACCTGCTTTAGACTGGATCTTTACATTTGAGGGGCCTTATTTTTTTTCAGCTCTTTAACTATTCCAGACATAAGTCCTTTGTCTGAGGAACATCTGGCAAAATTTTTTCTCAGGCTGTGGGTAGTCTCTTCGGAAAATCATTAGCAGCTCTCTTGGTTAATTCCTTTCTTGTGCAAAAGCTTTTTGAATAATGTGAAGATGTGATTAAAAACGTACCAACAAAGAAAAGTCCAGGTCTTGATGAATTCATTTTGAATTCCACAAAACTTTCTAATGCTACTACTCCTAAAAATGTTTAATGAAACTGTAAAGTAAATAATACTCTCAAAGTCATTCCTGAAACAACTATTGCCCTGATACAAAAACCAGAAAGTATCCAACAACAATGAGAATATACAGGCCAATGTCCTTAATGAATATAGAAAAAATCTTCAGTAATATATTGTCAAACAAAATGTAGCCAATCATCAAGATTATACATCATGACCAAATAGGATTCATCCCAGAGATGCAGTTATGGCTCAACATATGTAATTCAATAAATGTAATACACCATATCAACAGAGTCAAAGACAAAAATCAATAGACCCAGAAAAAGTATTTGATAATTTCCAATTTCCAATCATGATTTTAAAAAACCCCACAGATAATTGGGATAGATAATCTTTATCTCAATCTGATAAAAGCTATCTATGACAAAACAACAGCCCTAATCATATTACAGGGACCAAAATTGAAAGTTTTCAATACAAAATCAGATATAAGACAACCATTAGATGGAGCAGTTAGACAAAAGAAAGAAAAATAATAAAGATAGGACAAGAATAAGTTAAATTTTCATTATCTGCTTTTGTGTAAGAAGAACTAACCTAGTGAAAATAGCCATACTCCAATGGCTGTAATCCAGATTTAATGCCATCCCAATCAAAATACCAACAGTATACCTCATAGAACTAGAGAAAACATTCCTAAAATTCATTTGGAATCAGAAGACACCTATAGCTGCAAAAACAAATCTGGGCAACAAAGATATAGCAGGAGACATTACAATTCTTGACTTGAAGTTATGCTATAGAGCTACGGTGATAAAAATGGCACAGTACTGGCAAAAAACAGACCCAAGGATCAGTAGAACAGATTAAAAGAGGCACAAACAACCTGAAACACAGCCACCCTGTTTTTGTCAAAGAGAGTCAAATACCTTCACTGGAAAGATAGTTTCTTTAATAAATATTGCTGGAAAAATGCATTTTCACATGTGGAAGATTAAAATTAGGCCATGTCTCTCACCATGCACCAAAATAAATAAAAATGGTTCAAAGGCCTAAAATATGAAAAGAGAAACACTTAAGTATTCTGGAAGATTTTTTCCTACTGGCTGTTTCTTTTCCTGTTTAGAGTTTTTTTTTTTACACATTTATCAAATCCCACTTGTCTTATTTTTACATTTGTACGTTTTAGGTTTCATATATAATATACTCATTCCCAAACCAATACTAAGTAATTTTCCCACCATTTTGCTTCCATTGTTGTTATGATTTCAGCTTCTTACATTTATGTCCTTCATCCATTCTTTTAAGGGAGGAAAGGTTTATTTAGCTCACAATTTGAGAAATTTTCAGTCCATAATCAGCTGGCTCCAAGGCAGGGTGACTTGGCACAGGGGCAACAATTCATGGTGAAATACAGCAAAAGCAAAAAGAGCAAAAAAGGGAGAGTGTTTCATACATTTTGAGGGTATTTTTTTTTTTACTAGTAACGGGGATCAAACTCACAATCACGCGCTTGCGAGGCAGGTGATTATGCCACTGAGCTAAACCCCCAACCCCTTGAGTGTATTTTTATATGTTATGGCAGTCTTAAAATCCAAACAGTAAAAAGCGCTATGTGCATGCTCAATAAGTATTTACTAAAATAATTATGAATAGAGGAATTTTATTAAATCATGAGATTTAATAAAATAATTGAGACTCTACAGCATTTCCCCCAAATTTTAACACTGCCTACACTCTTTAATACTTTAACAATCATGATGGCATTGTCTCTATCAAGCGTGATTTTTTCCTTCCCAAAAAGTCCCAGCTCAATTTTTGACTGTATAGAACTTATAACAGTTTCGTACATTATGGTTCATGTCATTTTCATCATTTTTATGGCAGCCATGTCTAAAAGAAAGGGTATGTAACCTTTATTTTTAGCATTATATGTGTCAATGTATCAATTATTTTCTTTATCCCATAGTATTTTAGTAAACATAATTCCATTTTTACCACACTAACTCCTCAAATATTTGATTGCATACATAAAGTTCTCTCAGGTAAATCAGATAGTAGTTTGTAATTTGTCACGAAGAAGTTGTTCACTGAAGGCTCTATGCTGTCCCAGACAGGTGAAAATTGAGACTTAAATCTCCATCTCAAAAAAATATATCCAATAATCTAGACATTTCTGTACAGAAAAAAATTCATTACAGAATGTGCATGTTTCATTGAATTAGTACCATATTTGATGTCAGAAATCACATATGGAATACTTGCTTTCCCGCATCTTGGCTATCTGTCATTATGAAATTGAACTCTTATCTACAAAACAGAAACCAGGCTATCAAAATTAAAGATACTTTGGTGAAGCTTAAAGGATGACTTTGTAATCCATCTTTTAATACCATGAAAATTATATAATATATGAATGAAGGGTGCAAAGGAAAGAAGCCATGTTGGGGGAAGAATGTTTTTGATGACATGACCCTAGTATTATAACTTTCAACTAAATCACTCTCAATGTTAGCCATTCATTGTTTAGAATGTATAAATATATCTGCAAAGCGAGAGTCAACATTCACTTATGGTATGATTTGCAATAGTAAATATGTTTTCTTTGAAGGAAGTATGTAGGTTTCTCCATGCTGTAATTATTCACATTGATATTTTTATACACATACATATGATGATGCAGTATTTATTTATTCAGGTTTTTTTAAAACCAAAATACTTCTTTAAACAATCTGGTGTCCATAGTTTTTGGAGGAAATTCTAGAGAGTTTGATAAATAATTGTGTTAAACCCTGTAAGTTTTTCAAAATTCACTCACAATCTTTGCATTGTTATTTTTGATGCATACAATGAAATAATGAAATTATAATTATTTCCATATTGCAGTTGAAAAAATCAAATAACTTATCCGTTTAGCAGGCGGGTTTGTGGTCAAAATTTTCCTATTATATTTCATGTTCTCACATGGATATTCAGTATTATTCTTGGATAAAATTATATACTTCTAAACCTTGGGCTCCCCAGATGCCACAGAAACTAGACTAGGAACACTTGCCCTGTGATTTCCGATAAGGGCCACATAAAGATATGCCTTCATATTTCTGGAAACAGTTGGAGCCTGATTTTCCGTCTTGCCTGGCATAGAAACCATAGCTTTGTTAGTAGACAAGAGAAAGGATACACTCATCTCTGGAAGAATGTATAATCAACAAACCAAGGTGTGTGTGGTGATCCAGTCAACAAAGTCTTTACAGTATTATTTATTCAACAAAAATATATATCACAAAGAATTGCATAACACATTGATGAATTAAAAGCTTATTAATTACTCAGTATTATAGTTTAATATTTTATAAAATGGAAATAGTTATTATA